CCCGCCAGAGCCGCGCCCGCCGCCGGCAGCCTGCAGGGGCTGCATCCAGCTGGAAAACGCCCCCTTGCATCCCCGAGACTCGCTCACCACCGTGCCTGCCCCGCTTGTTCTGTGGATAAGGTTCCGGGCCGTTGCCTCCCGCACTAAAGAGTCGTTTCATCATCACTGCCCGTCCTGCCCCGGAGCCGGAGGTCGCGCAACGCCCATTCCCGGCAGCGGGTATGCTCCGCTCCTACGGTAGTGCCAAAACCACCTGTCGAGAGGAAAAAGTCATCTTGTTGCCGAGGAAGTGGGGCCACCACCTCATTATGGGAAGACTCTATCCCTTTGTCATCCTCCTGTGGAGTGATGGGCAACAGCCCTGACCCTGCACCTCTCACTACCCTGGAGGTTTCTTGAAGAACAACACCACTGGATCATGCTTAAAACATGGCTTGGCTACCAGTAAAACCGTTTGTACCAACAGTGACAGAAGATGCTGCAGAGGAATCCGAAACGGCTAAGTGTAGCCACAAAAGACATCAGCAAAAAGCTGATGGATTAGATTTATGTTAACCCCAACCACAAACACAGTGAGGGCCACCAAGTTGCAGAATGCTGGGGCTTCCCTAGCTTGCACTGAATCAGCCCAGGTTTTCACCCTCTGATGTGCACCTCCTTCAGATGGTTGAAATCTATTAAAAATCCCTTCCATTTAGGGACAGTCTGTGCCTGTGCCCATGGTCATAATCAAGGATATTTCTCTCAGGTCTTGGGAACAGAGCAGCCTTGACTCCATTCCATGGCATCTGCAGGTCTCAGGCCTTGCCAATATCTCCAACAAAGGCTCAAAATGCAGCAAGTGATGGATTCTGCTGCTCCTCCTCACACTCTCATCACATGGTTCGGGCAGTGTTTCACCAAATCCTGTCAATGCACCCACCATCCATGGAAAGGCAGCCCCATAACGAACAACATCACCCTGACTGCAAAGAGAAGCACGGTACAATTGCAAACTTCTGCATTCTGTGGAATGTTACAGCCTTAAAGAAGATAATTCCCCAGATACAATATTGCCGGTTCTCCAGTATTCCAGGATGAAGCAGAGAAGTGAGATGTCCATATGCTGTCCTCACACAGTGCTCACTTGTCAGGGTTTGCAGTGAGAATGCTCTGAGTACAGAAAGGTTAAAGATCATGGGCCACTTTAACAGTTTGTTCATTAAAGAAGTTTTGATTCCATTTCTAGGAATCCAAAACCGAGTTTTCGATTAACCTACTTTACCAACAAGCCACAAGCTTTTCCATTTCAACTCCTCTGATTCGCTCACTAATGGGTCTGGCAAGGGAGGGAGTGAATGGTTGGCTGCCTGATTCTTTGTTACTGGCTGGGATTAAACCAGGACTTTCACTTCTCCCTGCGCTGCAGGCAGGTGCATGTAAGAAAAGCAACACAGGATTCTCTGTCTCACAAGTGGGAGGCAGCTAACCTGGTTCCAAACACTTAAGGCAGATACTCCAAGTAAAGGACAATAAAGCACACTCTCCCTGAACAGTTTTCTTCCAAGACAATCCACACATCAGCTTTGTGACAAGGAAATAGTGTGGCTCAGTACATTGGGAGATGAAGCATGGGTGCCTCACAGCTCATTCTTCACATCCCTCATCCCCAGCACTGCAGGTACCCTGGCTTTGCCTTCCTGCTGCCTGGGAGAAGATTGAGCTGCTGCTGACACTAGGAAAGCTTTAGCATCAACATTTGGTCCCTGAAGTGAGAATGGCCACAGCTCTGTGAGTCAAAGTCTCCTGGCTGCATTAGTAATACTTTAAACCCCTCAGTGTTTTGGCAGCTCAAAGAGTCGAATCCTAGAATGTACTGTGAGTTTGAAGGGATGATAAAAATCGTCTAGCAGGCTTGTTCAGGTTCAAGGCCAACAATCACTGCACTTCGAGGGGTGAAGTGGGAAATGTTGGTGGCACAGTGGAACAAAGAGCTGACAGAAAAGGCAGCTGGGATTTTTCTGTCACTGACACTGGGGGTCTGCTGCTGCCAAAGAGAGTCAGCAGAGCAGGGAAAGGAACACTGTCTTGGTTTGAAAGACAGGTGTCTGCTAGGGAAGGTAGGGCCTGCTTTTTAAGGGAGAATATAAACCCTCTCTCTCTGAATTAGTATAATATTGAAATTAAGGGGCTTTCAGGTAAAGATATGAGGATAGGAATAATAGGTTTCTTACTAGCATGTATAACAAGGCAAAGAAAACAATAATAACTATGGCATCAATAACAGAGTTAACTAAGGACCCGGTAATATTCCTTTTGGACGCAGGCACTTTTCCTTTGGTGTGGTTACTGTTACAGCCGGCAGGAATGAGGGAGAAATCCGAGAAATCCCGGGGCGCTGGAGAGCAGTAGCTGTAGAGCGTCCCGAGAAGGCAGGAGGGTGCGGGCTGTTGTGTGGAGAAACCCAGAGCAATCCCGAAAAAACAGCGGTGTTGGGCCAGCAGGGACCGGCTCTGAGCAGGGCAGGGAGAGATGAAATTCAGGATTTACGGGCACACGGAGTACATGGTGATAAATCCCTCAGGTGCCGGTGAATTCCCCCCCGCAGTAAGCGATAGCCTGGACGTCTTTTTCTCATGTCAGACAGCGAGATCTAAAAAAAAAATCTGCTACTGCTTTACCCTCTGTTCGGTGTGACTGTCCCTCTGAGAGAAACTCTTAAAAAAACGAGCGCTCCCCGCCCCCGCATGCCTATGGCACTTAGTCATCAGTGCTTTTTTGCAAAGCAATGGGAGTAATAGCACAAGCAACAAGGAAAGGAAAAGAAAGGAAAAAAAACCCGCAACCCCCAAGATTATCCACCTCGAATTTTTTCTCATACCATTATGTTACATCAGATTTAAACTTTTAAATTATACACATACATGCAGTACCTTAGTTATATACATATATACATGCAGATACGGATACAGGCACAGGGTCATGGGTAGTTCACCTTAAAATAAGGTTTTTTTGAGGTATGCATGGGATTTCTCTCTTTTCTGGATTAGCCACCAGGTGCAGCCTGGATCCATCTATCGCAGATGGTGGGGTTGTGTTTCTATTCTTGGGGCAGTTGGTTTTAGGTCTGCTGCACACACCAGGTGAAAGCAAACTGAGGCTTGCATTCTGATGCCAGAGGAATGGAGAAAAACATGTTAGCAATGTCAGTGGCGGCGTACCACTTTGCTGCCTTGGACTCCAGCTCGTACTGGAGTTCCAGCATGTCTGGCATGGCAACACTCAGCAGTGAAGTCACTTTATTTAATCTATGATAGTCTATAGTCTATTTTTATTTTCTATTTGACTTGAGCACAGGCTAAATGGGGCTATTGAGGGGTGAGGGGGCCTTGCTGACCATCCATTGGCTCTCTAGTTTATAGATTATCTTGTGGATGGGGATTATGGCATCTTGATTTGTTTGATACTGCTGGCAGTGCACCGTCGAGGTGGCAATTGGTAGTTGTTGCTCTTCTGCATTCAGGAGTCTTATTGTAAATGGGTTTTCTGATAGTCCAGGGAAGGTGTTCAATTGCTGAATGTTCTCTGCCTCTACAGCAGCTATTCCAAAAGCACACCTGAGTCTTTTTGGGTCTTTGCAATAGCCGTTCCTGAGGAAGTCTATGCCTAGAATACATGGTGCCTCTGGGCCAGTCACATTTGAGTGTTTCTGCCACTCCTTCCCAGTCAGGGTCACCTCAGCCTCCAGCAAAGTCAATTCCTGAGATGCCCCTGTCACCCCAGCAATGGAAACGGGTTCTGCCCCTACATGTCCTGATGGCATTAGGGTACACTGTGCACCAGTATTAACTAATGCCTCATATTTTTGTGGCTCTGATGTGCCAGGCCATCGGATCTACACTGTCTAAAAGACCTGTTTTTCCCATGCCTCTCCCTGGCTAGAGGCAGGGCCCTTCTAGCCCTGGTTATCATTTCTTTCTTGGGCATACATACTAGATGTTTTTTTCTTCCCTTCTGTAATACCTGGCAACTTGGTCATGAGGCTACATTCACTTTAGTAGAATCCTTCAGTTAGTGTTTCCCTCCCTGAGCTGATGCACCTGTGCTGCCAGAACAGAAGTGGGTTTCCCATCCCATCTTCCATGAGAGGCCATGAGAAAACTGTTTGCTTGTGGCGAAAAAATCTCCATAGACTGAAGTCTGCTCTCCCAAGTAAATTGGTAAAAGACTATTTTTAGACATAGTAAACTGATTTGTTTCTGTACGTTGTCAGTGTGAAAGAAAAGAAGTTGTGGGGGGAGGAGAAGTGTTCTGAAAGTGTTATTCTGCGTCTTATTTTTTCTTATAATTTCTAGTAATAAAGTTTTTCTTTGTATCCTTTTAAGTTTGAGCCTGTTTTACCTTCCTCCTAATCCTATCTCACAGCAGGAAATGGATAAATAATTCTAGTGGGTGCACTGGCAATTTGGCCAACGTTAAATCCACGACAACACATAAAAATAATTCCTCTGAGACTCACAGTCTTACCTTGCCAGACTTCTATTCTTAGAGAAGGGACAGAGAAATGTCTGTGATGATAATATCACTTTTTAAAAACCTCTCTTTCCTTTTCTGTTTGAGTCCTACAGAGATGATTTAGCCTGTCTAGATCTCAGTTGACTGAGAGTCTCTTGCAATTGCAGCTTTTTGCTCATGGATGAGAAGGCAGGACTTGGCTTAATCTCAGCAGACTTGACTTTTTTAGGAGTTTTCTTGAAAGGCTGGTTCCAAGCCCATTTCACAGAGCATTGATTCCCCTACAGAAGACAGGTAAGACCAGAAAGAAGCTGCAAGCAGCCAGGCTGAGATATGACAGAGGATGTATCAGCTGTGAAATCTGCACATCCTTCTCTGTATTTTATCCCTGTTTGGCAACCACCACTAGGAGAAAGCAAAGGACAATTCCCTTGGTTTTACTACCATTTAGCTCTGCCCCTCTCTTCCCTGGCAGTCTGGAAGTTGCCAGAAGGCCCCTGGCAGCTGTTGTTCCATCCTGTCAGCAAAGTTTAGCATGCTCAGCTCCCTTCTTTTCTCCTCACACCTTCACAGGAGCTTCTCGATTTAGGCACCACAGGCAGGGACTCCAAGACACTGCACAGGCCTTGCCTGCCCTTTTACAGAGCTGCCTACCAGGACTTATCCACCTTCTCAGGCCCTCAGCAATACTTTCATTCTATCTTTTCATAAAGGTAAGGTTGCAATCAATGATTCACAGAAAGGGCCCATAGGATGTAGCTGATAAAACCAGGATGTGGACAGACTGCACAAGTCTTCAGAAAAGCACTGAAAGGGAAGTGGCAGGGGAGGAATGGAAAATTTGCTTGCAAGTGGTTGTGGACTACCAATAAAATCTTCATAGACAATGAAATAAAAGCAGATGTGGAAACCAGGTGCTGGGGGTCACCTAGAATGGTGACATTCTTGACTTATTATTTCTAATGGGATGGCAGAGAGAAATAAGGCTGAACTGTTGAACTTGCACACAAAGATATCCTCAAACAAATAAAAGATGATTTTAGGCAAGATGAGTTTGATTTTTTACATTTTAATAAGTCTTTGAACTAATTATCACAGCAGTTGCTAGCAAGTCTTCATAATGCTTGTGGCAAAAGCTGGAGAGTGACCAAGGACTCCAAGCCTTCCTTGAGTTCTTTCTAACAGCACCTCTGTTCTAGTATATATGCCTTTGCCTTCATGAATTTGTCAAAAAGGAAGGTATCAGATATATATCTTGCAGAGATAGTGGAAAAAAGAGCAAGACCATTAGCAGCCACAAAAGGAAGGGCAGCCGGAAAAGTAAGACCAGCCACAACAGAAAGACCAGCAGTTCCTACCCCAGCCATCACTGGAGCAAGAACGGAACGGATCTTTTGAAGTGCTGTCACGGCCTGTAAAGGGCAAGTAAAACACAGGTTAGAGACATGACAAACACTTATATTTACCCCCAGACATGATAAGCGAGAACAGGCACAGAAAATTAGGATAATTAAATCAAAGAGGGAAATGTGCCCCATCAGCAGAGGGGTAACACCCAGGTCGGTAGCCCTAGGAGGTG